CTTATTATATAACATATTTATCTTACATTCTTACTATATAACATGTTCTTCTTACTCTGTAACATGTTCATCTTATTATATAACATGTCTAGCTTACTATGTAACATGTTCATCTTATTTTATAATATGTCCATCTCATTTTGTAACATGTTCACCTTATTGTGTAAATATGTAACATGTTCATCTTGTTTTTTTATTTTTTATTTATTTATTTTTTTTATACATGTTCTTCTTATTTTATAACATGTTCATTTCATTATGTAACATATCCATCTTATTTTACAACATGTTCACCTTATTTTGTAAATATGTAATATTTTTATCTTATTCTATAACATGTTCATCATATTATATAACATGTTCATCTTACTATGTAACATGTTCATTTTATTATAGATTTGCGTCATCATCTTCTAATAACATAAATTAATTATAAAAAATAATAAATTAATTGTGAAGGTGGAGGATATTCGATCGAAAGACTAATTTATGGAATTTCTTTTACATTCTACTAGTTTTTCACTTTCATTCCCTATAGTATGACTATTGCATAAATTTGAGTTCTTAACTGTAGATTATGGTTTATTATTTCAGGGCGGGGATGCTTGCATTAAACGAGTGAAAGTTGAGCAAGAAATTGACCAGAATTTTGTGTATTGTGGAAATGAGAGAAAATAAATGTGAGAGCCCATTGTGTAGATATGGAATCTAAACATGTTCATCTTATTCTATAATATGTTCATTTTATTATGTAACATGTTCATCTTATTCTATAACATGTTCATTTTATTATGTAACATGTTCATCTTATTCTATAACATGTTCATCTTATTCTATAACATGTTCATTTTATTATGTAACATGTTCATCTTATTCTATAACATGTTCATTTTATTAATGTAAAATGTTCTTCTTATTTTATAACATGTTCATCTAAATTTCATCTGTGAAAATGTAATATTTTCATCTTATTAGAGAGAATTTTGGTTTGTGAAGGTGGAGAATATCGATCGAAAGACTAATTTATGAAATTTCTTTTACATTCTACTAGTTTTTTATTTTCATTTCCTATAGTATGACTATTGCATAAATTTGAGTTTTTAACTGTAGATTATGTTTATTATTTCAGGGCGGGGATGCTTGCATTAAACGAGTGAAAGTCGAGCAAAAAATTGACCAGAATTTTGTGTATGAAGTGGAAATGGGAGAAAATAATGTGAGAGCCCGCTATATAGATATGAAATCTAAACATGTTCAGCTTATTCTATAACATGTTCATTTTATTATGTAACATGTTCATCTTATTCTATAACATGTTCATCTTATTCTATAACATGTTCATCTAAATTTCATCTGTGAAAATGTAACATTTTCATCTTATTAGAGAGAATTTTGGTTTGTGAAGGTGGAGAATATTCGATCGAAAGACTAATTTATGGAATTTCTTTTACATTCTACTAGTTTTTCACTTTCATTCCCTATAGTATGACTATTGCATAAATTTGAGTTCTCAAATGTAGATTATGGTTTATTATTTCAGGGCGGGGATGCTTGCATTAAACGAGTGAAAGTCGAGCAAGAAATTGACCAGAATTTTGTGTATGAAGTGGAAATGAGAGAAAATAATGTGAGAGTCCGTTATGTAAATATGGAATCTAAACATGTTCAGCTTATTCTATAACACATTCATTTTATTATGTAACATGTTCATCTTATTCTATAACATGTTCATTTTATTATGTAACATATTCATCTTAATTTAGAACATGTTCATCTAAATTTCATCTGTGAAAATGTAACATTTTCATCTTATTTTATGACATGTTCATCTTACTCTATAACATGTTCATTTTATTATATAACATATTCATTTAATTATAATTTATGTCATAATCTTTCAATAAGATAAAGTAATTGTAAAAAATGATAAATTAATTGTGTTCCAAAAAATATCAAATGTGGTCTCTATTTGTAGAGAATGAAAAATTATAAATTTTGGTATTTTTATTTTTATTGTTTAATACAAAATATGAATGATAATTTAATTTATATAAAATGATATATGAATTTCATCATCCAATAGAAATGGGACACATGTCCCTTTTAAAAAAAATGTCTTACCTCCCTTACCTTGAAAAATGAGCCCAATTTTGGTAGAAGAAATTGAGCCCCATTTTTGTCTTACCTCTCTCTGCGCGTGAGCTAAAAAAAATTGGACAACAATTTTAATTTAAAGTCACTCTCCTTTGTTTTACGTGAGCTCACTCTCGGCCCTGGCAAGGTGTGCCAGGGCACACCTAATTATTTGCGGCACGCATATGCCTTTGCTTGACTAAGGACAACATTAAAAAATTTACCACCATTCCAAACAAAGATTGCAACCACAATTACAACAACAATTAATACACAAGACCAACAATATATTTTTATTCAAATAACTTACATGCAGCACAATTATACGTTCTTAAGAAAGAAAATGTCTTAGTTAATTAACATGTTTGCAACGGCATCCCACACAAGCAATCGTTGTTGGCGAACGAGGCGGCCTCAAGATGATCAAACGGCGAGCCTTTTGGGATGGGCCCACAAAGATGGTTGTGGCTCAAATCCAAGTGCCCGATATACTTAGCCGACGACAATGACTTTGGAATCGAACCCCTCAACTGGTTGTAGGATAAGTCGATGGCCGTAAAATACGTTTTCGGGCCAAAAACGTCGGGCAGATTTCCCTCCAACGAGTTACGGCTCAAGTTCAAGATGTTTAGCCCCGTGTTAGATAGCAAAGCAGTGGGCACCACACCGGATAACTGGTTGTTGTCCAAGTTGAGGGTTGAAAGAACCGGCATTGAGCCCAGCTGAGCCGGGATTGAACCGGAGATTTGGT